CTGCGTTTTATAATAAGTAAGATAAGATTCTTTGTTTTGCTTTCTAGAGTTTTTGTTTATCTAACATTTTATATATATATATATATATATATATATATATATATATATATATATATATATATATATTATGGGACACTTGTAAAACATATTTTTTGGAGGCACTTGTAAAACATTGGTGGGGGGGCACTTATAAAACATGTAATGTATGTAAATGTTTACATACAGACATTATGTATGTTCCAAAGGTTGCTATAGCTGGATGTGATAGGAAAGACAAGCTCCCATTGTTTATAAAATGCTCTCACAGCATGCATCTCAAATAGTCATTGACAACTGTCCACCTCCATGCCGGAGATGATCAAGGGTGGATCCCCAGCTGCTTCAGATGAATGGCGCTCATTAGCCTAGGAAGGCAGTTCATCTAGAGGAAAGAAAACCTTGATTTTAAACCTCCATTGTTTATGGCCATATCCAAACATGAAAAAAGGCTTTGGAAGTAAATACAGAAAGAAAATCTGAAGTGAAACTTTGAACGTAGTTGGCTGTCAACACTGGCAAACTTCTGGAAACTTCTGTAGTCAGTTTGGCCCCAAATGTAATGCAGTGTATTCCTTTGGGTCTTGTTGATATGGGTGAGAGAGACAGGGCATATGATCTGGGTAGTGCATGGCCTCCTGTTGTAGTAAAGCAACGACTCAACTGATTGTAGCAGATAGAAAAAGTGAGGAGGGTAAACGACAAAATAGTGTCACATGTCCAACCTTCTCAGGAGCAAAAAAAACAAATCCCCAGAAACAAAAACACGCCTGCTTTATATAGCCAAGGATCGACCATAATTTGCATGCTGAGACCACCTGGCATAAAACATGGGCCGCCATTTTGGTTCTTTTTTACTGTTGAGCAGCCGGAGTTTGCACAACGCACAGATTCGTGGGCGTTTCTGAGGTAGGCCATTTTCACAATTTTCCCCACACCTCCATATACCAATGCTCAGGTATGTTATCTAGAGATGTCATGCCAGTCTCACTATCAAAGAACTGAATTTCGGCCAAACTTGTTGCTAGCATTATCTTGTGTGATAAACAGATGTTTAATAATGACTTTTTAAGCATAGACAAATTTATGACAGGGTTCCTAATATTATGATTGTTGGATTACTGATGTCAGTGATTCTTCAATTTTGTGAGATTGATCTTGGAGTGTGTCGCAGTGACTTACCTCAGCAACCCAAAAGAGCAAGAGTCGCGTGTATGTTTTGCAAGGAAGTGTGGAGATGGCAAATTGACGAGAATCCTTAACCAGGTATTGAACTCACACTCATTGGGTCCTGTCACCTGGTTAAGGCGGTGGAGAACTTGGAGAATTAACAGGAGATGACTGACAACTGACATCCATTAGACGTGGCATGTGGAACTAGAACAGTCTACCCCAGTGAGCAAAATAAAGGGTTCAGTTCGACATTCCAACTACCTGAAGAAGGCTGGTGTGTACAGAAATGTTGTAATAAGTATGGTGACAAAGATGAGGACAATAGTCTGAATAATGTAAATGTACATAATACCTCATCTCAGAAATATAAACAGATACTGAACACTCTTAGTCTATTGGGGTAGATTGCTCTAGTTCCATGTTCCCAAGGATACATGCCCAGTGGATAAAAGCATTGGTTGAAGTAATCCAGTGACTTGACCCAAACAGTTGTGAGTTCAATACCTGGCCACAGCAGAGGTGAACAAAAACTTGGAGAGTTGAGTTACTAAAGGGAATTAAATGAAACTGAAAAATCTAGAAAAGGCATGGCATGTGGAACTCGAACAATTTACTCCCATGGACTAAATAAAGGGTTCGCTCAAAATTTTAACTAAAGGAGGCTGAAGTGTACAACTACTGAAATGTCATGAATATGACAATAAAGATGAGGACAATAGTCCGAATAATGTAAATAGAATAAATAGTTACAGTACCTCATCTCAGAAATATAGACAGATGTTTTGATAGTTACTGGAAGCTGAGAAATAAGATTGAATTGCAAAACTGAACTCAATTGTCTCTTAATCATGAAATAAAAAAAATTATCTGTTGTCCATTTGCACATTCATTATAATAATCTCATCACTAAACAATTCATCAAGAAATCAGCCATCTTACAATATTTTCATTTCTCTGGTTGTTCTTTATGCACACACATTTATCATGTTTTATGGCAAATATTTTAACTGAACCAAAACACAAAGAAAAATCTCATTAAAATGAATTGTCACCAGTGCCGCTCCCCACTGTAGTGTTTTTTTTTGTTTTTTAATCATTTCACCCCAAGCAAGGCAATAAAACCACTAAAATTTAAGGGGTTACTGAGTGTTAGAGAATATGTGGAAAAAAAGCACTATTAAGGAGAGAGAACAATAAAAGTACATGAATTGAGAAGACAGAAAATAATGCTTGACATTGCATTTAAATTTTTTTTAAATCCTAAAGAAAAAGAACAAAATTTAATTTAATTTTTAAGTCATTTCAATAGAACATTTAAAGATTTTTTTTTTCTAATATTTTGTAAAATACTTTTTTTCTCTATCTCTCTCTCTCTCTCTCTCTCTCTCTCTCTCTATATATATATATATATATATATATATATATAGGCTAACTTTGGAAAAGATGTATTATGTATAACTTGATCCAATCTGTTTCTGGTGAGTGATTAAGGTCTTTTGGGGAGTGTATAACAAAGCTGACTTCATAAAAGGTGAAATTTCTCAAAAATTGGTGGTTTGGGGTGGGATTACCTTATTTGGGTATAGCCATTACAAGGTACAAAAATTGCTCTAATTTCAGTTTGGATAAAGATTAGAGGTTGGTTGAGGGTTCATTGGAAGTGTACACTTAAAGCCAATTTAATGGTATGATAAAAGTTTCAGTTGTATAAAAAGTTTGAGATTAGGGCTGTATAACATCAAAAAAGATAGACATGGATTCAGACAGAGCAGGACAGTCATGTTAAATAAAATCCAAACTTTCTTTAAAACAAAGATCTGAGAAACTACTATTCAGCAAAAACCTCTAAAAACACCTATAAAAATCTTTATAGTATGAAGTTATGCTAAAGTTTTATGAGTTTCAAAAATGACAATTTGGTATACATACTGTTATTAATCAAGAAATATATCTTCAACAAGACTGGCATACCAATTCTTCTGAACAGCTGAGAATGTGAGCGTATGGCATGATCTGTGGCACCACATACTGTACGGTACTTTTTTTGGCTGACACTGAGTTATAAGATTGGTTAAGGCAGGGTCAGAACATTCAAGGAGTCTTGATATGACATCAGTGAGCTGATCAACAGGAGAGATTTTCCTGGATAAAAATTGCAAATAATTTCTAATGTCCTTGTTGTTTGCCTCCAAACATTCTTCAGACAGGTTCCTAAGATTGTAACAATCATTCAAATCAATCAGTTCTACAGAGTGGTGTAGAGTTCCATGCAAAGTATCATTAATTCTTACCCATGGAAAATTGTCACACAAAGTGAAAGCAGTTGAGTCACAGAGATCTTTAAAATTTTTCAACTCAATTTTACACAATGAAGATACAACTGAGAGGATTGTAGATAATTGACGATGGAGAAGGTTATCTTTGTGTTTCTGATCAGCTAACTTTTGTATGGCTTCAATCACCTCTTCAGAGAAAAATCACCTTCCTCATGGTCTATTAGCTGAAGTCCTACCTTTCCCATCAGCTGTATTGACTCTCTCAAGATAAAGTCCTGTTTCCTGGTGAATGGTCTCAAGAAATCGATCCTTGGGTTTACAGATGGGGTCTTCAATTGGTCCAGTTTTTTTCTATCCACTTCCAAAAGAACAGTAAAATTACAATGACTTTGCATGGAAATTCCTAATGGAAATTAACATGAATGAATGACTTGAAGGAGGAAGGTTTTGAAAATTCTGAAAGGGTTTAACCAGTATATATTTGATATTGGTAACTTATTGTGTATGGAGCTTAGCCATTTTTTAGTGTATCTGATGGATTATAGTAAGAAAATTGCTGCTTTTTGAGTAAAATTGGACTAATTTTCGCCCAATTTCGGGTGAAAATCAGCAAAGATAATGAAAATTTTTGTTTTCATCTATTTTGATAGTATTCTGAGGCAATTCATAGCTAATATCCTGTCTGCAACCTCAAAATAGTAATATTACAATTATTTTCATCCATTTGGAGCCTAAATTTTAATTCTAGCATACAAAATTTACCAATTAGATAAATTTACAATCTCTGAAATAAACTTTGGTCCTGCATTAAAGAAGAAAGCTGAGAGTCACACAGTAAACCGAAAAGATTCTAAATGGGCTTAGCCTGAATTTTTCAAAAAGTATATACTTTGGTATGTGAAATTTAGTTGTTTTTGATATATCTGACGTTTTTGACTAAAAAAAATAGTGCAATTTTGGGAGGAAAATTGGACATATTCTTCATAAATTTTGTAGCAATTCTGATATTACTTTGTCAAAATCTTAATGAATTCATCATAAACCAATGATTTTTCTAATCAGAATTCAATTATATGGTATTCAAAGTTAGAAAAATGATACTAGCTGTATTTCCTCAGCTAACCATAACAGATTTTAGCTCATTCACTTATCAGTGTGATGAAGCATTTAAAAATATGTGGTCAGGATATGGCCAAGAAATAGCTAAGATTTTATTCAAATTTCTGTAACTTTAAAATAATATAAAATCAGTTCTAGATATGCTAGAGATTTAATTTTTTTTTTTTTTTTTTTCAGAAATTTAATGTAGATTCATTTTATAAACAAAAGTAAGAAATAACATGATCTTTTGCCAATTTCCACCTCTGCACCCATTGTGTCTCTTTCTCTCTCTTTTTTTTTTTTCTTTTCTTTAAAATATTTTTTATTAGAAATCTGAACAAAGTTGTTTTCTCATGTGATTTAGGTTACATAAATCTTTTATTTTGTTCTTTTTATAGAGGCAGATTTTTTAACATGAGGCCATGCTGGAAAAAGGAAAGACCACCAGGTAAGCTGTTGTCATTATTTATTATTACCAAGATGACATTTTCTTAAAGGCCCTTCACTGTATTTGTCTTTCACTGGTGGTAATACCTGTCAAAACTTTGACCATATGTCACAGTTTCAGGACTAATACAAGAAATGAAAAAGTGGATTTTTTTTTTTTTAATACTATTGCTCAACAATACAAAACCAAAGAGCCACTCAAAGTAGAGGGTTACTGAATAAGTTTTTTGTAAAGGAAGTAAGCAAGAAGTGTATATGAAGATATGTAGGATAGATAATGCTTGACCCTAGACTTGAAGAGGTTATGGTTGTAGTGATCAGAGAATCATCCTCTTGGGAATCTGTTTCACAAAGTAACAATTTTGGAGAAGAAATTGTCTGAGTGGAACTTCCTCCTTACAAATGGAATAGAAAGTGAATAGAGGTGAGTTGACTAAGGAATGTAGCTTGTCTGATCATTTGCCATGAAAATAGTGATAGAGTAGCAATATTGTGTTTGTGGGGAAAGTCATTTTGGGGTGGAGAATAATTGTATTTAAGAAAATCTTCACTCTTTTTGGTACATTTATTTATAAGAAGTGTCAAAGATTAACTAAGTGTCACCATTTACCTCTTCTCACATTTCCTTATATATTTCTTATTCATTTCATCTTCACCTCTGAAAGGGCTTTGTCGTGTGGCACTTCGTTTCAATTACTAGTGTTATAAAATAAGACATATCTCGACTGATTTACAGGCAAATACTCAAGAGCGAGAGCCGGATGTGAACGGGACAAAGCCCCGTCACAAAATGACCATTATCTTCGTTTACAAATGTTCCCGACACACGTGTTCCGGTCGAAAAATAAAATAATATTTAAAGTGCTCTATTTTTCGTCCAATAAAAATGCTTCCCTCCTAATTATACTCGCTTCGTTTTTCGAGCCTGTTAAGCCATAAAAAAATGCTATAAAAAGGGTCACATGGAAGTTCAACAGGCAGTCAACAGGTGCCCAGGGTAGAGACCTGTCACGGTCAGCAGCTGACAGCAGGAGAGCATCAACCACCGTTAACATGTGTGAACTACTATGAGAGATCGACCTAGATCTGAAGCCGGCTTATGAACTTTACCACAAGGTAGCTGTCCCAAACCCACATGTTCCTGTTGAAATAAACCACGTAAATCTATTTCTGCTGTTGTCGTATTTCTTTCTTGCAACCATACGCTTGTCTATAACATTAGATAAGGAAGTAAATACTATGCCCATGATCAACATTTGAACAAGTTTAAATTTCTGTAATTATTTTAATTTCTTTGTAGACCAGCCCAGTTTATATTAAAAGCAAATTTTCTGGATTTCAAACCATTCCTCTAAGTAAAAACAAATAGAATCGATTTCTATATTACAGACTTTGCCTCCTGAATGTTTTTTTTAACTCTTTTAAATGCCAATGTTTTAAATTTGCAACAGTTTGTACTTATCTTTTTAAAGAGCATCATTGACCCTGTATTGAGCTCCTTTTTAATTTTTTTTATTTTATTTTAGCATAATTACTTAATAATTGCTAAAATAAAAGGATCTCTTTTGCTGATTGTATATTGCCCTTGAAACAATATTTGAGGGCAAAAGTATAGAAAAACAGTCATGAAATATGTGAAACGGTTTTCAAATGTAATTAAATCAAGGCTAATTTTCCAGTATATTATTCATGGTCATTATTCTAAGCCAACAGAAGTCGAAAAAGATGAAATAATCAATTGATACAAGGTGAACATGGCAGATGGCGTAGAATTGGCCAGCTGAGTTTTTACTGTCTTATTTTTGCTGTATGTGGCCTTGTCTTGTCATGGATGAGAACCACATTTTTCCTATTGACAAATACTGTCCACTTTTCAACCAAATTTATATGGACATGTTGTAGCTGCTGGATGTTTAAAGGTACATTTTATGTTTATATTTCATTATAAGAACTCTAAACTGACAATTCCCTGCTCCAAACATGTGTTACCTTTCTACCATGAGGCACAGATTTTTGGGTCAGTTGAGAAGATTTGTCTTTGTCAATCCACTATCTTTTAACATTGAACATTGTTGTATACAACACATTTTTCATCACCTGTTATGATATATTTAAGGAATGTTTAGTTAAGATGATACATTCGTTATGGCTTTTGGTCTCCCCCACCTCAAACATAAATTACTTATGACTCGACCTTTTTGCGCGCACACACACATGTGCATGCATATATATATATATATATATATATATATATACTATTTAAATGTCACCTGATAGGGCTATAGAATAAGCCACAGAACTCAAAATTGATCGTTGCATTAATATTTAAGCTTACCTTCAATGATAATTTTTCTGTCACCACTTAATTTAAAGACAATTTGATGTATGTAGGTCCTTACTTTCTATACAATTATTTTCACTGTATTTTGCAATTAATTTTAATTATTCCCAAATTTATTTCCAAGTTATAAAAATTATCGTACAAAAAATTAATTGCAGAAAAATTGCTGAAAACAATTGCATTAATGAAAACATGGGAATCCAAAATTTCAGGATTGTGGGTTTGGATCTGGCTTGGAATGTTTTTAATTTGCTCATGGAGTTGATCTGATTCCAAAATGGTATGACATGTTGGGCTACCGCTTCTAGGAGTAAAGTTGAAAAAGTGTTACACTTGCATCTATTATATGTTCTTTTCTTCCTGGGGAAAACAAAGGATCTGGCACCTGTCCTGCTTCACATCTATCAAAGTTTTGATTGAGGCTGACTTGAACATCAGGATAAACTGCGTGCAAATATTAAAGAAAGTTGGCAGCAACCTGCTCCTCTCAATGATAGCTTTACCTGCCACTGTGACTTTGTCACACTCAATAAAAGGGGCCTTGCTGTCCACTCACGGAAACACGTGACAATTGATACTCAAGCGAAATGACTCAACCACATGTTCCATCTGTTTGCAAAACACCTGCAGGCCTTAGGAGATACATACATATTCATAAAAGTTGAGCACCTCTTTATTTTACTGAGCCCTAAATTGTTGTCCATGAGAAGACAATCCGACATAAAAAATGTGTATTTCAGCAGTAATAATTCCCTAAAACATGTTTTGTTAAATAATATAGACAAGTTCTGTCTATTGATTTTTTTTATTTAATTTTTCAAATTTCTGAATTAGGTGTTTTGTGTTATCAATTTGCCAAAGTTCATATTTATTTTATATTATTTTATTCCTGAGTAATTTTGAATGTTGCTTTATTTGTTTTCAAGGATTGTACTATGTATATTTACACAACTGGTTTTTTCTTTTAATTCATTTGGTTCCGTCAAACATGAGAACAATTTCACATCACTCAAGGTGATGCTATATAAACGTAAGTGGTCAAACTGAGATTAAAAAAAAAGTTGTTTTATTAAATGCACTTCAATATACAGTCCCCTATGATAAAAGATAGTAATTAAATTCATTTATGGAGAAATGTTTGCTTCTTTAATATGATATTTAAAAGTAAAACTTTATTTAAAAACATCTAAATAAAGTAAATAAACTTAAATTAAGATTTATTTAAACATGTTTAATCTCTATCTATAAAAGGCAGGATGTGTGTGTAACAAATACATGGCCACAATTTTTGATGGATTTGCACCAAACTTTATATGCACATGCTCCAAATTAGCAGAAAGGCCAAGACCGACTGCATTTCCCAACTCCCATCGATAGTGGAAATAATTGATTTTTTTCATGCTTCTACGGCAGTTTTCATGTAGTTTGCAGCCATTTTCTACTGGCCAGAGTGAGAGACAACAGCTGACTGACACAAATGTTAACTAGCATGCAAAAAAAAAAATTGATAGCTGCATTCGTCACAAGTGGGGAAAAATTTAAATCTGCATGGCACTTTACTCCAATTGGCTCATTTGCTTGCTTAAACTCAACGTTGATTCTGATTCCGCAGAACTGGGTTGGGTGTGAAAAAGTATTTGTTGTTAACATTCTTTTTGCATTTGGTTTTTTCAGTTATGAGTCCTTTTTTAAAGCTGATCGTTTTGTGTTCATTTTGTTTAGTTCTTTTTTTGTAACAGATTCAATGTTTAGTATAGAGCTTGGAAAAAATTTGCAGTGTGAGATAGGCAATAAGTAAGGCATGTAGCAACATCAGCACAGCAAAGGGCACTCCTTTAAAGGCAAGGAAGGGCAAAATATTTTAAGTCAAGTGATAGCGATTGCTGTACAAGTCGTACAATTTTTGAATCAAGCACGGGCAACGCCAGGTCATGCTGCTAGTTTAATCATATTTTCAAGCAAAAACTATAGCAAGCCTTACTTTTTCAAAAAATAATTATTTACTATTTATTTTGGAGGAGAGTTAAGATTTTTTTAAGTAAATAGTTTTATTTTTAAACATTACATTAAAGTAGTAAACATTTCTCAATAAATTAATTTAATTGCTATTTTGAAAGAGAGTATAAGCAAAACACATTGAGAATTTAGTTTTGAAAGTTGATTATCTTTACATTTCACGTTCTATTTGTATTTGGAAAAAAAATTTAGTTAAAAAAAGCATGAATTTAACTATATTTTATTTAAATTAATGTCTTTTTGAATAAAAATCTGGGTGCCTAAGATACCCCCACATGTGGTATTTTCCTAAATTTAATTATTTTGTAACAAACCAAAAAAAAAAAAAAAACAAAAAAAAACAAACCCCCAAAACAATGAAGTTTATTTTTAAAGATTGAATAAACAATTATTTTCCATAGGATGGGTGAAAAATATAAATAAATTGTCAATAATAAACTATTATTCAGAGATCTGAGCAATGCTGGGTATCCCTGCTAGTATATATATATATATATATATATATATATATATATATATATATATATATATATATATAATATGGTGGTAATAATGCCTGAAAATTTTTACATATCTGAAACTCAGTTACATGGTTAGAACATATTTATTCATATTATAAATATTAAATATATTATATGTAAATA